CCTTCAAGGCTCAGGGGTCCAAGATTATCTTCTGTGTCTGTGTTAATTGGTTTCCCTTTTCTTTGTTGAAGAGGGTCTGTGCAATCCTTCCGCCTAGTCTGCCATCTTGCCAGCAGCCTGCCAATAATAATAGTTTTAAAACAGAGAAAAACAAGCAAATTAATAACCAGAAAAAAGAAAGGGAAAAATAAAAAAAGAAAAACAAAAAAATCAGGAGAGAGCAGGGCAGGTTACCCAGGCTCTGTCAGAGCACACAGACTGGGATGGATTTCCTGTGGGCCCAGAAGGTTTGTGGGAGTGGGTGATGACTGCACCTCCGTTCACCAAGTGTGTGTGGGGTATAAGAGTAACAAGAGGAATGTCGCATCTTTTCAGGCTTGCAAGTCTGGAGTATCCTTGGGGTTGCTGGCAAGCAGAACGTGTTCCTAAGCCCCGGAATCTGCGAGAGCACTGTCTCTTTAAATATCCAAAATAGTCAAGCCGCTTTTAAACATTCAAGATGGTGACACCCTCCTGACAGGAAAAAGTCCACAGCTCAGCCCGCCTTCCTCTTCGCTGCTTCTCCTTTTATTCACCAGCCACCAGAGCAGTCCTCCGTGCAGCCCCTGGCTATCAGGGCTAATTTTTAGGTTAATTCTTAGGTCCTACTAGACTCATAACTCTCCATGTCTGTACCATGCCATCAGGATCACTCAGGATCGTTGCCAGACTGCAGCTCTGTCTGTCTCCTTTTTGGTATTTTCACACAAATTCTTCTGCTAGTTGAGGTTTAGTCCAGTTCTATAACCTTCCCTTCAAGGCTCAGGGGTCCAGGATTATGTTCTGTGTCTGTGTTAATTGGTTTTCCTTTTCTTTGTTGAAGAGGGCTGTGCAGTCTTCCTGCCTACCCCGCTATCTTGCTGGTTCTAGGTGTATTTTTAAAATTTATTCTGCTTGGTGTTCTCTGAACTTCCTGGATCGGGTGGTTTGGTGTCTCTCATTAATTTTGGGAAGTTCTTGGCCGTTATTACTTCAACTATTTATTTTGGTCCATTCTCTCTTCTCCTTCTGGTAGTATTCAAGGTATACGTATGTCACACCTTTTGAAACTATCCCAAGTTCTTGGATATTCTGTTTATTTCTTGTATTTCAGTTTGGGAAGAAAGTTCTCTTGACATATCTTCAGGTTCTCTAGTTCCTCCTTCATCCATGTTCATTCTGTTGATGTAACCATCAAATACAATCTTTATTTCTATTATAATGATTTTCATTTAGAGCATTTCCTTTTGATTGTTTCTTAGAGTTTCCATCTCTCAACTTACATCACCACCTGTTCTTGCATGTTATTTACTTTTTCCATTCACCCCCTTAACATATTAATCATAATTATTTTAAATTGTGTATGATAATTCCAAAATCTGTGCCATATTTGGGTCTGATTTGAGGCTTGCTTTTTCTTTACAGACTGTGTTTTTACCTGCCTTTGACGCTAGTCTCCTCCTGCTTGCTTTTGTTGAAAGCTGAAAATGGGTAATAGGGATTGAGGTGAATTGGCCTTCAGTGAAATTTTGTTAATAGGGATTGGACTGTGTTTAATGTTTGCTGTGGCCATGGGTACCAGGGATTTCAAAATCCTTTGTTGTCTTTGTTTTTGTCTTCTCTGTTGTGTTTAGGTTTACCTCTGGATGCCTTCTTAAAAAGAGTTGGAGGCTTGCAGCTCTTTTAGTTGTAATCTAATGTTATTATACCTGGAGCTCTGTTGATGTGGTGGTAAGGTGTGGGGAAGGGGAAACAGTCTATAATTTTATGATTAGATTTCCATCTTTTATGGGCTTGTCTTCCTGGGCTGTGATTTTTCACCAATGTAACCTTTTTATTTTTTTTCCTCCCTCCCTTAGATGAGACAGAGGGGCTAGAGGTAGCTGGAGATGGGTAACTGCCCTTCTACTTTTGTGAGATAAGTCAATTTCACTGAGAAATAAGCTTTTGAAAATGCATTGGACATATTTCAGCATGGTGTTTTTCTCATCCCTCTGATGGCACTGTGGTTAAAGCATTGGACTGCTAACCTAAAGTTTGGCTGTTCAAGCCCACCAGCTGCTGTGTGGTAGAAAGATGAGGCAGTGTGCTTCCATAAATATTTCTAGCCTTGGAAACCCTATGGGACAATTGTCTTTTGTATAGGGCTGTTATGAGTCAGAATTGACTTGATGGCAGTAGGTTTTTCTGTCCAAAGACATGAGGTGATTTTCCTTGGCTTGTCACAGTGGTGTCCTGGTGGGGTTTCTGGAGGTGAAATCTATGCTAACGTAGGGGTTCCTAAGACCGTGGTACTTAGGAATTTCTTACTGTCAGACTAAACACACTCAACTCCCAGCAATTCATCAAAATTACTGTTTAAGTGTTCCTATGAGTTTATAGCTTCAGCAGCTTCTGCTCCAGCTAAGCTGGATTCACCTGTATTTCTTGGGATACTTCTGTCTCTCTATATTTTGGGGTGACAGTTTGCCCTGTGACCTCAGTTTTCTGAGGAGTCTAAGAAAAGTTGAATTTTATTCTGTTCAGCGAAAATGGAGTAACAATTTCCATTCTTTCTTCATGTGGAACTGAAACAGTAAGTCTGATTAACATATTAGCCACAAACATCTTCTGTAGTAAATTGTCTGGAAAGCCAGAGTGATTTTGGGCTTCTTTTGAATCATTGCGTTAGTGTTTTGTTTTGTTTCTTTTCGCAGTTCTGTAATACATTTTAAGCAACTTTATTTTTCAACAGATGTCAGGAAGAAGGTGCATTTTGGTAGCATACATGATGCAGTACGAGCTGGAGATGTAAAGCAACTTTCAGAAATAGTAGAACATGGAGCCAGCATTAATGAAGTTGATATTCTCCATAAATTTACCCCTTTACATTGGGCAGCACATTCTGGAAGCTTGGAGGTAAGAATATACATAAATTAATTAAACTCAGGTAGATTTACAGCCATAGCAGTTTCATAAATATACTAAATAGGGCTAAGACTTTATGCTGGGTTCTGTAAGTATTCTTCATTTCAGTTCATTCTAATACTTGGATGTTCCTGTTACTTTGGTTTCATAACAAATCTGTTAAAACTTAGAGGCGTAAAACAACTATTTGTTTATGGTCATCAGTGGGCCAGGAATTTGGACCATAGAAACAACTTATCTCTGCTTTACAATGTCTGGACTTTGAGCTGGAAGATTAAAGAGCTGTGATTGGAATTTTATGAAGGCTTGTTCAGTCAGGTGTCTTGTGGTTTATGCATTAGGTTGGGCACTTTAATTCTTCTCCTTGTGGGCTCATTCATGTGGTCCCTCAGCATAGATAGTCTGTGCTTCCTCAAAACATGGTAGCTAGGTTTCAAAGGTAAGCATCCCAGGAGGTCCGAGTGGAAGCTGTACCACTTTTTTTTTTTTTTTTTCAATTGTGATTTGGGTGAAGATTTACAGAGCAAATTCACATTCCACATAGCAGTTCACATACACTTTGTCTCATGACATTGACCACAGTTTACCACAATGCAACAGCTCCCGTCCCACTTCCTCCCCATAGTTACCTCTTCCCAGTGTCCATCCTTCCATGCACTCTTGCCCCCTGAGGTGTCTCCCTGTGCATAAGCAGCCCTTC